GATATTGACAAATGCCTGGTCCCTGGGTGAACACGCAGCTGCAAATGCCCGGCCGTGGCGACAAGTAAGCATACAAATGCCCCGCACTGTCCGGGGGTGTGGATGGTCGCAGCTGGAATTGACTGATGCATAATAAACTAAATCGCAAAGCACTTCCTTAAACTATTACTTGTTTAGCATCCCCGCCCGACCTGATAAAAGTTCCCTAATCTTTTTTAGAGTTTAGTGCAAAAACTCTCCATAAAAAAGACCGTTTTACTTGAAAAAATGGTGATTTTATTCTTCTGGGAGCTATGTAATACGTTTGCACAAAATTTCCTTCCCAGAATATGCCTAATATCGCAGCTAAAGTGTTCGCGCTTGACCGCCAAACGGTAATTTTCTGTTTTATTTAAAAACATGAACGGTATTAAAAAACATGAACAGATTTTGAAAGAATTAAAGTGAGTTTTGACTGTGGTAATATACTGGATTTCCTGCATTTAGCAAAATTTGTGTTGCATTTTACGAAAAAAAAACGCCCGCCCGCCCGAACCTAGAAAAATTAAAATGGGTGGACGCTAAACAAGTAATTTTTTTTATGTGGCCTAAAGGACTTTAAATGGATGTTATACTGTAGGAATGAATGGATATATTTGCAAAAATTACTTTCTTTAAATATCATCATTGTAGTTCATCTCAAATTCTTCAAAATTTTCACAAAATTGTCATTATGCCACGAATAAACCTCAGGCAAGTTAGGATAAAACCCACCCACCCAACATGAATATGGATCCCTTAATAAACCCCCAGCAAAATGAGACATGATATATCCTTCATACATCAAGATTTAAACTATATCGACACAAGAACAAGCCCAAATACCTTAGAAGCAGACACACCAGAGTATTTTCAGCAGCTTCTGAACAGGTTACGGTGCTAGTATCGACGCCAAAAGACCATCACATTTCAAGCTTCAACCACGTGTTGTAATTCAGTAAGCTTCACAGAATAGCATCTTTTGAAGGAATTTGCAGCCCTTTTGAAGCAGCTAAGAACACAAGAAAGTCCATTCTTTAAAGATAAGTGGTTATACTTGGATAAAATCGAAAAAATAAAGGTTTTAGAACGAATATTTTGATCTAAAACTAGATTTAATGTTGGCTTTTATTGAAGCTCTTTCAAATTCCACGCCATTGCTAAAATCTCCTACACGTGTTAGCCTGGCGCGGGCCAGAAGCGGGCAAAGCCTGGATGCGGCCGCAAATTGCCGCAAAGGCCAAAGGGGGAGGGGTCAAAGGGGGAGGGGTCAAAGAGGGAGGGGGAAGGTAATAAAAAAATTTTCCCGGACTAACTTAATTTTTTTTCGGACAAACATAACCAGGTATTATAAATTGTTAAAATTGGGAAGGAAAACATAACTTTTACGAAATTTTGCCATCTTCTACCAACTATAACCTCATATTTTCCTTTTTGACCCCCTCCCCAATAGCGTCGTCCCTCAGATTCTGATCACGGGATTACGCAGGGACGCCGGAACGAAGATTTTCGTGAAAGGGCACTTTTGAATTGATATATACTAAGGGCCTGTTCATATGGGCAAAAGTTATCCCGGTTAACGAGAGAACTTTTCGACTAGCCAAATACTTTTGTTCTGTTCATATGGAGAAATATTATCCCATTTCCTAGTACCGCTTGCCATGCAGGCTACCGGTACCAAGGAACAATTATCGTATAATATAAAAAATTGAAGAAAGGCGGAAGTGCGATTGTGTAAAATTTAAAAATGATTTAGTGTTTTTACGACTGTTTTTCCTGGATATTCGAAGAAACTGGCCACAGAATGTACATGACTACAAAAACAGTAAATATTACTCTAAAATATGTCGAAAATATACTGACAAACTGATCTAGGACTTAACGTACAAAAGGGAATCGAAAATTCATTTCAAGAATGAGGAATGCGGAACTTGGCCGTTTAGCATGAATAATACAAGACTGGTAGTTGTATTTATGTTACTAAGGCTAAGCAGTGGTAGAATGCTTTTTAAGTGATGATATTGTATTAAGAAGTGAACATTGAAAGAGCAGTACCTACAGGCACGAAACTTAAGGGGGGTGTGGGGGTGTCACCCCCCCACCCCCCCTACGCTGGGCTGGCAGGGCAAATCATCTGGATTGGCAGGGCAACGAAAGATTTTAAATTTCAGATATTGTTCCAAAAATAAGGGTTTCAATCGGAACTGGTGTATGTCTGAGAAAACATTTTTTACCTTTAATTTAACCGTTTTTTGTCCGAAAAATATTTTTTGGCCCCTTTTTTGATTGTCCGGAAAATTTTTTTGCCCCTAAAACGGTACACTGACCAAAATTTTTTTGGCGACGGGGGGGGGGGTTGGAAGTCGACGGAAAATTTCTGCTGTAGGGCATCATCGGTTTTCGCAGGGCAATTATAGCAGACACCCCCCCAAGTAAAAGGGGCTAGTTTCGTCCCTGAGTACCTACCATGGACCATCATATAAAACTTAAAAGGTTTGAAAAATGAAAAGCAAGCAATGGACGAATTTTACAAGGAATTAGCCAACGAAATTTTGTTTATTATTGCTAACCAAAATCGACCGGGCCTTCCTGTTGAGAAATTATGCCTAGAATTTGAGAAAAGGGTAGGCAATAAACTTGTGAACATTGTTGGGGTTGAAGAACATCAATTTGTAAGTTCGTGACGTATGTTGTCTCGAGCTCAGCGGCGTGTCGAACAAGCTTCTGACAGTTCTGTTGTGTATACGATTAACTGGAGTGCCGAACATTATCGTACGCTGTCATGCAGACGATCAATATCAGGAAGTGCTTCTCGTTCATGCCTGGAAATTGATTGAAACCCATGCAGGGACGCCGGAACCGGGGGGCGAGAGGGGCAGCCGCCCCGTTGCCCTTTACCAGGAGGGGCAAGGGGGGCAAAGGTGCCCTTTCAATTTAAAGGATTGCCTTGGCAAAATAGCGAATTGTCAGAAATGTTAACGCATTTCTTTTACGAATTTGCTTCAGAAAACGCAGGAAATGCAGTCATTGAGCTTCAAGAATAGCACAATCGCCTGGGGGAGAACCCCCTCACACCCCTATCATCCAATAAATAGAAAACATGATTAGGCGAAGTTCAATTCCCGATGTTTTGCAAACTTCTCTTAGTATATATCAATTCAAAAGTGCCCTTTCACGAAAATCTGCCCCCCCCCCTTGCCTTCACATCGTTCCGACGTCCCTGAACTCATGGCTTGTGCTACGATTGTTGTGACAATTCCGGTAATACTGCGTTACACTTGCTTGTCGCTACGCCAGGACCAAGCACACCAAATCTTGTTCGGTTATTGTTGCAAGCTGGTGGTGACCGTTTGGCAGTACAAACAAATAAGAAAGGTCAAAATGTTTTACACGTAATTGCTGGAAGAATGCGTGCAGAGGAAAACAGCAATGGAGATTTGGTGTTTCAAAATGAGAAGAATGATGGCTTTCCAAATACTAAAAATAGAATGGCGGTCTTGAAGACATTAACCGAACAATTATCGCCTGATCAGTTAACAGTATTAGTTACGGCGCAAGACGAAATTGGCGATACCGACGCCGATGCATGAATGGGCATTGTCAGCATCGACGAGAGGGAGTAGCCATTTTGTTGCATTTCGTTTTGAACATGAAATGGAAATTGCATTGCAGTTATTACGATTCGGTGCACAATTGCGCCTACCAAACAGTACTGGACACGTACCACTGCACTATGCTTTCTATATAAAGGTGTTCGAGTTTCTAGTTCAACGTTGTGATGTTTCGTTAATACCAGGCAACAAGACAAACGAAATCCCTTGCATACATTGTTGAATATACCTCCACATATTCGTGACCTTAAATGCATAAACACAGTAATTTTTCAGACTTTAGACGCACTTCATCGACAAGGAGTTGAGGTGAACGCGGTAGATACAGACGGACTAACGCCTCTAGATATTGCATATAAGCATTTCTACCTTCAGCCATCTTTCTACAGGAAAATCATTAATAAGCTACTCCATTAAGGGGCTCGTCGAAGTGTACAGTCGTTTAATCGTGAAATAAGATGTCGTTGTCCGAAGAGTGACCTGAAAAATGCAACGGACCTTGCTAAAACCACAGGCGCAGAAGACATTGTCACCGTTGTCGGAAAATACTGTTATTTCAATGACGCGCCAATCGGATCAGGAGCTTTCAGTTCAGTGTTCCTAGCAATTAATGTCCTCACCGTTTAATAAATATATATATATATTGAGATATTTAATATAACGACACGCATAAGAACACAAGGTTTGTGGGGTTATGGAAGTGTGGGACAACTGCTCTATATACTGTATTTTTTATCTGCGAAGAGCTGGG